AAATGAATCAAACTTGCTGACCATATGAAAAAAGGAAGAGTAAATCATGAGGGGATGAAAAAAAAAGTTTTTTTAATTTTTTTTTTTTTTCATTTAATGGATCAGGAGGGCAAGAAAATGGTGGAACATGGAAAAAGAAGGATGGGGAGAAACTTTATGGTGAGCATTTGACATTTGACACATGGTAAAAGTTATTCAGCAGAAAGTAGCAGAGCACTCCTGGGAAGCAGGCCAAGAGCTGAGCAGCCACACAAATGGACTCACTGCTTCGGTCTCGGGTTTGCCCCCTGGTTACGGGTGATGCACACTGCCTGGGCACTGCAGGGGAACGTCAGCTAGTCTGGCACATATATCTTTGCAGAAAGAGTTCCTTATTCATGAGCACTGGGTTTGCTTGGGAAGAAAATGCAATGCAGGAATTCTGTCATTTGTAAATGATGAGATGCTGCATGAATCAGGAGAGATCAGACAGGCAGTTACGAGATATCTGTGTTCAGACTGGGAAAATCTGACTATATGACTACCAGAAGGCATACTGGGTAGCCCAATACTGATACAGTGCCTTTGTTAGCCTGTGCGTTGCAGGGCTTGAATTACCTGTTTGGCATCAGCTTGGTCCCTGAGGAAGTGGTTAGCTGTCTCTGCACTGGGGTCTCCATGTGCTGCTTTTATGAAAAACTGCTAAAACTTAGTGCAGCACAAGTTCTGGAGCCAGCCTGGATCCAGCACTGCACCCAGAGCATGAGGAAATGCAGCACAGACATCCCGAGAAGCTCTGCATGGATCCATCTTGTGTTTCTCATGGTTTATTAGAGGTGTTGCTACCAAAAAGAACTATTCTGTTAAGTTTACTTTCGAAGCATCAGAAAAGCACCTATCACACAGTGGTGTCTGAGCTTTTAACTCTTATTTCTGCACTAGCTGCCATTAATCTTCAGTCTGGCTAAACTGTCCATTGATAGTTGTGAACTGGGTATTTCTGGGGAAGAGATGCTCAAATTATATTTCCCTCTTTCCCTCTCTATTCCCTTACATCTCTCAACTCATCTCTCCTGTACCCTCATCTCCATACCCTTATGAGGGTAGGAGGGTATGGATACAAAGCCCTGTGTCCTCCTTCTATGTCCCAGCTTTGTTTCTAGCAGTACACACTGCAGCCCTGGTCCTCCTCTGCAACACACCATGTGGAGCTCAGTCAGCTTGCTTAGTCCTTCAGAGGGCAGCAGGTGGTGAAAGAAGGTGGTAGATCATGGGCCAAGAGTAAATAGGTGGCTGTTGGTGGTGCCCACTATGGCCTGGTAGCCAGCTAGTCATCATCTGAATTAGCCCACCGGCTGTTAGCTCAGTTCTTTTCTAAAAAAACTTTCTAAAGGTTTAATTTACAGTGTCATGACTGAGACTCAACAAAATCCACGGAGGAACATGTTTTGAAAAAAATCAGAGAAAAACACTCTGTAGTTCTTGTTGAATGCCTTTCCAGTCTTAATACTACAATATTTAAAAAACTAAACATCTTTGATAAGTTAATTCAAAAAACAGTTAAGCTGTGTTCTTCAAACAAGTAATTAAGTTATCTTCTCTCTGTGAAAATACACAATTTTGGCCTTTTGCTTAAGACTCAAGCTGCACATTTCCAGCTGCTATAGGAATATATGCACTAATGTCTCATGCTTTACTGAGAAAGGTGCGTTTGTTTTAATAATACCGATTTGTGCATTTAAATTCATATACTGACAATTAAAATATTGATTTTTTTTTTTTTCAAAGACTATGACAGGACTAAAGTTTTTTTCTAGTGCATCTCGATAACCTGTTTCAAGATACCTCTTTAATCATCTTTATTTTTCACACTTTGCATTTGTATTTTATATTTGGCCTCATTTGTATTGCCACATTATACTTTGTTTGTATGACATAATTACTTCTGTACTAAAGGCTACAGACCTTTGACTGTTTTAGGGACATAGGCCATAATGGGATTAATGACAGGTTTGCAGGAAATAGGGCATTTAGTGCAGTAGCAAGAATCAGAAAGTCCTCCATAACATCAGTGAGTGTTTTGTGACATTATTCATTGCTTCCTCCTTCCTGTTTCTTCCCCTTCTTATTTAATGTCAAGTTGTATAGATACACAGTGAAGCAACAGGTGATTTTTTGAGGTCATTAGCCTGATATCTGCACATTTAATTGGTAATAAAGTTCTAGTCAGAGACCTCCAACCTTTTAAATTAATTTCACCAATAAGGTTGGGAAAGATCAGATAAAACAAACAAGCAAGGAAATAAATGTCTTTTGGTGATTGTTTGAGGGGTCTGTTAACATACATTTGGCATCTTCAGATTAGTATAAAATGATTTCTCCAGCACTGTGTCCTGAAATTCTCTGTATTTACTGGCATGTTCTTTCTTATTACCTAGTAGAGTATTAACAGGAGGGAGGGGGCAGTTAACCTTTGCATCTGTTCTTTGGCAACTAGCCAATACATTAATAGAGATGATGAAAGCAGTGGAAAATTGCTTATTTCCTATCATGTTCCAGAGAGCGGATTAAGAGAGTGGAAACCCTCCAGAGACAGCAAATCTGAAACTGAAGAAAAGCTCTGAGAGGAAAGTTTAGAAGAGACATGTGGGAAGTTCTGGGTAGTGGAAAGGCAGATCTGAGTATACTTCTGTAGTCAAGGGATAGTGGTCTATTCTGATGTGATCAGCTTTGTCCTGGTCAGGGAAGGTGACGGTCACAAAGAAGAGTCTACAATTCAGGAGGAAAATTAAAGATGAAGGAGGATCTTAGAAAATTTTACAACAGATTAGACCCCAGCTCAAACAGTTTTTTAGAGTAGTTAAGAAAATGAGCCCGGATCTTGTGTTGAGGATTAATTGTTTTTCTTTTTTGTTTCAGTGTTTCCTGTATTTTTAAGTAAATAACAGCAGTGTCATGCAGGCTGGTAAATAATTTGTTATGTGGCAGTTGTCTCACACCTGTCATGTACTCCTGCCATAATAAGTCCTGTGCAATCATGATACGTTTTTCCGCTGCATTTCTTAATGCCCCTATACCGCAGGCAGCAACTTCCTCCAGTCTTCAAAAGGTGCTCTAGCACTGATTATCTTGTTGGGCCATCTACACACCAAGACGTGGAGCTGCCACTGGCCTGGGACAGCCCTAGAGGGGGCCCAGACAAGGTGTCCCTTTGTCTGAGCCCTTAACTTGGGTTCCTGCCTGCCTTTGGCTCCCTGTGCTCCTCTGGGCTTCTACAGACAGGCCTTTGATGTACTGCTGGGTACTGTGATGGGCCTGGGAATATCTGGGCAGGGTATTATTTGGGGTCCCCCTCCATTGTTTCTCTGTGCTCATTTGTGGTTGTGCAGACAAGCTTCTACCACATAACCTAAGACATCCTATTACTCTGGTCACTGGATGATTTGACTCTCCTCTGATCAGGCACAGGCTAAATTATTCAAAGGGAAAAATGCCACATATGGCATTTCCATTGTAGAACAAATTCTACTTTAAGCCCTACTTTTCATGGACTCATTCATTGGATCACAGGGAATATCCCCCACCCTGAGTGTTGTTCTCTTTTTTTTTTTTTTTTTTTTTTTTTTCAGATGGATGATCAGGGGGATTTTAGGGTACTTTCATGAATGAGTCAATCTTAATGGATCCATCTTAAATATTACTAGGTCATTTTGGAGGACTAATTTATGGAAGCCTACTCCAGAGCTTTACTGAGATTAATGCAGATCATAGAAATAGTTATAGAAATCTACCTCTTCTCATTTACCACCTGAGAGCACAAGTTTTGAGGGTTTGTTGTTTCATTTAACAGGGAATGGATCTGCATAAGCAGATCAATCCACTAGGCAACTGTCAGCTGGCAGTGTCCTGCAGCTATCACAGAAAAGGTCACCAGCCTCTTTCTGCAAAGCTCCACAATCAAGAAAGACCAGGTCTGATAAGTATGGGAAGTCAGAAACCTTCAGAGGCACTGTGGTGGCTAGAAAAACAAATACTATTAATCTGGAGATTACCATATTTTTTAATCTCTTTTTAATCTCCATGTTTTTAAAGCTGCTTTTTAGAAACTTTAAATCAACTGATGTTTTCCATCAGTGTCTGGGTTCAGTATTTGGCAGGATCAGAGCGTCTTCTTGTGTAACACATATGCTGCAAGATACACTCCTCCCATCTACTGGCTCAGGTGTTGTGGCAGATGCCTGTATCAAAGGCTCACATTACTAAATCTTGATCCTTCTTGTTTCTTGCCAAGAAATTTAACTCTCCTAAAAATCCCTCCTCATGACTTATGTCTTCTAATTGGTTTTTCTCCACTAATACTGTTTTGGTTTTGGTTTTTTTTTTTTTGGTTTTTTTTTTTTTTTTTTTTTTGTTAATATGGATAAAACATGCCTCCAAGGAATAATTGGCCTTACTGCTCTCTCTGGCAAAAATACACTAGAAACCCTCTGGATTTTCTCTGTCAATGTTTCTTTGGATTATTCTGTGATGAATGAAGAGTAGGAGTGAAATAAGCTGTCTCTCTATTATGGAAATCCTATTCCAACCCTATGTGATTGCAGGAGATACATTAATAATTTACACACCATTTCCTCCCTTTTCCCTTCCTTAGGGAATGTGTACTGTCCCAACCACCATGAGCAAAGTGATTGTGACATTTAAATCCCAGCCTGCAATTCACATCATTCTATTTTGATATGTTTTGTTTAGAAACTCTGTGCTGTAATTACAGATTTTTTGGTATGATATTTTGTAGTTGAGCTCTTTAACCGAGAATGCAATTGCATTTTCTTGTTTTCCTTGTTTGCTTATGTTCAACTTCTGTTGATTTCAAAAGGTTCAAATGACTTAGGGTCTTTGACTGGAGTTGCGTATTTCTTTACAGTTTAAGAAAGAGTAGTAAATTATTGCTCACAGGGTCAAAAGAAAAATAAACTGACCCCCTGTTAAAAGATAATCTGTGGCTCTCTTTTTCTGCATAGCATTTCACACTGTGACAGAGCCTGTGTGAGAGAGAAACAGAAGAATGGAGAAGTCCAGGAAAACCTTTACTGACATCATCGATAAGGCAATAGCTGTTGCTAACACAATGGATCGTGATGAACTGCTTTTTTCTTACAAGGGGATTCTCTACCCTGTTACCTTTTGCAGTCCTGAAGTATTCAGAGCTATGGAGTCCCTTGAAGCCAGAAGTGATGATATAATTTTGGCAGGATACCCTAAATCTGGTGAATATAGTTTGCTTTCTTCATAAAGTTATGTAGTTGCAAATAAGTAGGTTTGTACTATATATTATGTGATATAGAATATTATATATATTATACTAAGTAATAGTATTTAGAATTCTCACAAAAATTTGTGGAACTAATTTTGTTCTCAAAAAGCCCAACATAGTTAATTATGAAGATTTTATATAGGGAATTTTTTTAAATGACAGAAAAAGGCATCTGATTTCTATAGCATGTAAAGGGTTTTGTTACCTTTACTTTTTATAGTTATGAAGTTAAATGCTCATACCAGAGATAACTAGATCTGATACTGCAGGATCTGCTCTCACACTTATATTTGTAAAGTTAATAGTTTTATATTTTTACACAGAACGGAGCTTTTGGTACCTTCACATGCCATGCTCCATGTTCTCTAGTTTATTTCACATAGAAGTCATGAATAGCTGAAATCCATAATTATAAAAAAATTATTTTTGCAACATTTTAAATGATCACACTGATCTTTGACTATTGGGAAGTCAAGAGGAGATCTTTGCTCGAGTTGTGAGTTTACCCTACATCTTTGCTCCTTCTGCCTGAAAGCACTCTATACTGGCCCATATCAGAGCTACAGGTTTGGCTTTTTAATGTAGCTGTTTCTCTCCTCCAGCGATTTGATTTACACTGTTTTACAATAGATAGTCACAGCTGACAGGATTGTAAAGCTTTTGCTTTTTTAATCATGTTTTCTTTTTGAAGAAATGCTATGTACCAGAATGCAGTTTTTAAGACTGTAGTGGCAAAGATGTAGGAATGCAGTGTTCAGAAGTCAGGAAATGGTAAACTAAAGATGAGAGTTCTCTACAGGCTCTTTTTTATATTTTGAATAAAAATACAATAAGTGTGTATAGGAAATGTCACTTTAGACACTTTTTGCCTGTTGGTAAAGAAGATGAACACATGTAGCACAATTTTCAATCTAATTTTGCCCCTGTGTTGAAGTTCTGTGACCCATCTTTCCTCCCAAGATAATCTTGTGCATCACATAAGAAATACATAAATAATAGTAGGTTTTGAGGCACAGGTTTACCACCCCAATCGCCCTTATATTTGTCACAATAAAAAATTATTATATTAATGCATGCTTTCCTATTTGAATCTTAGTGGTTCTTCTCCTGTATTAGTTAATTTACAGTATACAAGTTAATTTACAATATACAAGTTAATTTATGATGTACTGAGCTGTTCAAGTTGGAGAAATATAACCTTATAAAGAGCAAAGATAGTACCCTGAGGGGTGATTGTCCAGATAGTCAGCTGTGGTTGTATCACAGGAAAGCATATCAGGCAACTCACCTGGTAGTACTACCTACCTCTCAGCTTTCCTGGAAAATCCATATCTGTTTATTCTTAAAGTTTTACAAGCAGTTCTGTGTTTTTCCTCTTTCAGGCACAAACTGGCTAGGTCAAATCTTATATGATCTGGTAGCCATATTTGAAAAGAAAACGCAGAATAAGGAAAGCAGCATGAATGATGAAGAATTCCCCTACCTCGAAATTGGAGATACTGGGAAATATGAGGTGGGCACAGAATACGTATGAAAGTTGTCAAAATTTTGTGCTTCAAATACTGAACATACAATGTGTGAAATATTCTACTGTTTGATAAGAACTCTCACATTTCTCTATACATGGCATCTAGTCACAGTGAATCTCATCTGCATTGCCAAATGCTGAGGGATAAATGGACACTTCAGAGGATTTGAGAGGAGCACATATTCATTAGATATCCAAGAACGACAGAAATTCAACATGACATCTTTCGTATTTAAGAAGAGTTTAATGAAATGTCAAATACTGGCTTTGACTCTTTTACTCACTCTTCCCCTTCACCCCTTCTGTCTGTCATTGAGTTCCTTCATCTTTCACATACCTCCAGTTAGAGTCTGCATCTTACATTTAGATTTGATCCCTTGTCTAATAGAACATGATAAATTCATTATCACTGAAGAGAATTAACAATGGATAATCTTTTTCCAATCGCTCATTCTCAGGGGCTTTTGAAGATTAAAGTTACTCAGAGCAGTTCACTAAGATCCCAGGATAACACTCATGAAAAATAAGTACTTCTATCAGCCAATAACTATTGATAATTTTAGCAAGGCAATATTTTATCATAGGCTGATGAAAAGAATACTTGTACTAACTACACTGTCCACTTTTCTCCTTCCAATTCTTGAAGCGAATGAACAAATTACCTTCTCGAAGAGTTATGTTTACTCATCTCCTTCCTGAAAATCTTCCCAGGTCTATCTTCAAAAATAACGCTAAGGTGAGTGCTGATTTTAATGTCTTGAAAGCAAACACTCCAACAATTTTTTTTTTTTTTAAAGCCAATTTAGTACTTTTCTGGCAATTTTCAATCACTCTTATATTGAGTGTTGAAGTGGCCATTTCTACATGCCTGTTTAAGTACTGTCATTCGTCTCTCTTAATCTCAGTTCATCCTTACTGACACCTCTGTGACAGTCTCCACAAATGAGATGGAGGGGTGGAACAAATCTTCCATCAGTAAAATGTATTTTGTCACAGTTTCCTATGTGAGGCATTTTATGGTGTTGTCACAAGTGAGGGCTTCAGTCTGCCAAGATTCAGAGAGAATTTGTATTTTTGTGATTTTTTCCCCATTACCTAAACGATGAATGATGGTTATATCAAGCAAAAAGTACTTAGATTCTGCATAATTAATTTGAATAATCCATAAAATATATTTTAATAATTATAGGCAATCATCTTCACAAGATACTGAAGCAAAGTGAAATACTTCACCTTCTGAATTTAGAATGAAATAGGTACTTCTGCAAATAGTATAAAAGATTTATAAATTCCCCAAACTGCAATTATAAAATAGATTATGGTTCTCTTCTATTCTGTTATGGCTTTCTCTACAAATAAAATGTTTTTTTTTTTTTTCTAGATATTGTTGCTGATTCGCAATCCAAAAGATGTAGCTACATCTTTTTACTATTTTTCCAATGGCATATCTACCCTTCCTTCCTATGAGGCCTGGGATGATTTCTTCGTAGCTTTCATGACAAAGAAAAGTACAGTATATTCTTCTGTCTGTGTCAATTATTCAATTCTTTAACTTTGTCTAAATACCTTGCTCTTTTTAAATCAGTTTCACTAGGATTTTTTGGTTTACAGTACAAAACCAGAAATTAAAGATAGTATGTTAGACATTTGAACTAAAATTTACAGTACTTGTCATACTGCCTGAGGATAAATCCTTACCAAAACTGCGCTTCCAAAAACTGCTTTAACTTGCAAAAACTTGTATTTTTGCTCTAAGATGCAGTTCCTCCTTATCTCTATCTTGGATCCCCTTCACCACTCACCCATGTCCATCATCTTGTGCCCACACAGGTGTCTGAACACCTACATGCCAATTTGGACCAGAGGAATGATTTGCACTAATTCTAGTGAATTAAAAAATAAAGAAAATAATCCCAATAATTTAAAATGCCATAAATTCTTCAGTTTGGCATATCACATGGCCATCAGAAGGGATGGTTAAGCAGGGTTTTAAACTGGATTAAGGGAGTACACAAAATGATTTGAGTACTGATAGCTCTTTGGTGGACTCACATCTGTTTTGAAATACTAACTAGCTTTACTGTACTGACTTACAAATGGTATTATATCTCTGAGACGTGCATTTGTCAGAACATTCTGGATCAAAACCCTGTAATTCCCACAGAAGGGGGTAAACTCTGGCATAGACATGATTAATAATGCCTGTCGTTGAGGTTTCAATTTAAGGAGTAAAAATTGGTTTAGTTCATAAAGAGCTTGTCTAACTTTCATTTATACTTCATCTTAGGATTCTTTTGTTTTCTTTAGTGCCCTGGGGATGCTACCTTGAATACCTTTCTGAATGGAACAAATATGCTGATGATAAAAATGTTATGACAATAACTTATGAGGAGCTAAAAGAGGTGAGGTTACCAATAGTTACAAATATTTTATACCTCAAAGAGCACTTCTCCCTAAACCAATTAATAATAATCATTATATTCATGTACTGTATTCAAACTGTGTGATACTGTATGAGCTAGATTCTTGTTTTAAGGGAAGGAAAGATGAAATTCAACCTTAAAAGCCTTTCTAAAATTTTATTTGTGAAAATGATTCTTGTTTTCTCTTTAGCTGTGGTATAAACCTGGATTACTGTAAATCAAAATCCCCAGTATTTTTTTTTTGGGGGGGGGGGAAGCTTTTATATGCTCAACAGTGAAGATTTTGCTCAACTGTAAATCATGTACAGTCTTTTGTGATCTGTAGGAAGACAGCTTATACCTCTGCTGAAATAATTATGGAGAAGAGAAACACTATCTACAACTCCAGTTCTACTGAACTCTGTGAATATTCTACATGTGTAGCCGGTAGAGGGATGTAGGGAAGCCCAAACACTTTGGAAAGTAGTGTAATTTGTTCGACTGTCATGCGGTATGTTACATTCCTCTTTTCAGAATCCTGTTCTGGGTGTGAAAAACATAGCTGATTTCTTTGGGATTTCCCTGACTGAGAAAGAGCTTCAGGGTGTCGTAGAGAGGAGCACCTTCCAGTCAATGAAGAAGAACTCGCAGAAGACCCATGGGGCATTTGGGAAGGTTCTCTTTCGCAAAGGTAGGAAGCTCCAAGAGTTCCAGAGGTAGAAATGTCACACTCTCAAGAACATGGGCCACCCAGCCTTTGTTTCTTTTTTGCACACACATTAGCATTACAGATTATTGACGAGAAGGTTATCATTGTTATGCTTGAGAAGACTAGTCAAGGAGCACTGGTGAGGAAGAGACCCAGCAATGCTCTGGCAGCAAGGTGCAGCCAGCACAGGAGAAGCAACTGCACAGAGAAAATTTTAGAGGCCCACAGATGACTGTCAGGAAGAAGGAGCTAGCATGTGTCTGAACTCCTCTCCACCTCTCACCAAAATCACTGATTCTTCAGCCATTAGAGACTTACCTGAGCAGGCAAAGCTGGGTCAAACTCAGCCTGAGTGCCATGATCATAATTTTTAAGAGAGTGTAGGATTTCCTGAAAGAGACACTGCCAACCCCTTGTTCACACTCACAAGTTAGAAGTAAGACAAGCATGCAAGAGTCAGGTACATAGAGAAGGGAAAACAAAAGGGAACTACTTTTGCAGTGTAGCATAGGGGACATAGACACGAGTGGGCCAACCTATTGGTCAGAAACTACTTCTGCATTTTACATTAAAGAAGTCATTGGATAAAAACTCAAGCTGCCAAGGGAGCAGAAACATGGCTCTGCCTCCTGCCAGATGATTCTTATTCAAGCCTTCATGGTCTTCCACCTTGTCAGTCATAACTGACTGGAGTAGAGAGCTGCAGAGAAACAGGACTTTAGGCTGTTTTTTTGGGCACAGTCACCTGAGGAGGAGTATGTTCTTTTGCATTATAGCAGTTTCACAGACCTGTAACTCCACTGACTCCACAAAATTATATTGGTGCAAAAATGAGTGAAGTTTTATTTTGTAAAATGGATCAACTCCATTAAGTGTACAATGGAACAAGACTGACAGATCTATAGAATAAAAAACAAAATTTCTTGTTTTTCAAGAGTTTATTTGCTTCTTTGAAGGTGGTGTAAGTGACTGGAAGAATCTTTTCAGTGAAGAACAGAATGAGAAAATGGACAAAGCATTTGAAGAACGTGTAGGAGGAACTAAACTGGGAACAAAGTTAAAATATGAAGTGTACTGTAAAGCCTGAAGAGTAATGAAACATGGTTAGAGCAAGAACTTTCTGATGCACTCTTAGATCATCTGTATGCTACATATTAGAAAGCTAGATAAAATGATCCAAGCAGATCAGAATTACTGTAATAATCACATTGCGGCAACCTTTACAATGACAACGATGAAGATTGGGTTTTTGTTTTAAAGGTGAAATATCTGACTTGCTTTGGCTACACTAATTTGCCGAATAAGATGGCAACTAACTGTATTCAGATAAACTTAACAGCCCTGTTTCAGTAGCTGTCACCTGGAAGGAAATGCCCCTTTTCTTTTCCTAGCCAAACTCAGTCTTTCTAGACTACTTATAATTATTTAGTATGTAGATTTTTTAATTTCAGAAATGTTTCAGATCAGACGACATCTTCACAGGAAAGATCACTGGCAAAAAAATGGATCTGACACAACCTTAATTAATGAAAAGGATATCTTCCCCATGACTTCAGCAGAAACTGGATCAAAGCTAGAGGGAAGAGAAGGAAAGGGAATGGGGATCAGCAGTCTTAGGGATTTTAATGCCTCTGAATACAGAATTTCAAGACAGATTTCAGATTATGGGCTGGTGTTAACAGGCCAGATCCACTCAGAGGCACAGCTTTTATAATATCATAGAACAGCCCAGGTTGAAAGGGACCTTGAAAGATCATCTGGTCCAACTTTTCATGACAAAAGGGGCCTAGATGAGATTCTTGCATCTTGAAATCCTCTAGCGATGAGGACTCTATCACATCCCTGGGGAGGTTGTTCCAAAGAATGATTGTTCTCCCTGCAAATAATTTATTTATTATACCAAGATGAAACCTCTCCTGGTGCAACTTGTACCCATTGTCCGTTGTTTTCTCCATGTGGCTCCTTGTGAATAGAGAGGCCCCATTCTCTTTGTAGCTGCTCTTTAAGTATTGGAATACTGTGATGAGGTCCTCCCTGAGCTTTCTCATCTTTGTGGCTTTGCTTTGGACCCCTTCCAGTCTATCTGTGTCTTTCCTGAATTGTGATGACCAGAACTGAACACATCACTCAGATGCAGACTGAGAAGTGCTGAATTTTAGAATCATAGAATTGTTTATGTTGGAAAAGACCTTTAAGATCATCAAGTCCAAATATAAGCCTAACACTGTCAAGTCCACCACTAAACCGTGTCCCTAAGTGCCACATCTACACATCTTTTAAATACCTCCAGGGATGGTGACTCCACCACTTCCCTGGGCAGCCTGTTCCAATGCTTGACAACCCTTTCCATGAAGAAATTTTTTGTATTAACCAATCTAAACCTCCCCTGGTGTAACTTGAGGTCATTTCCTTTCATCTTATCACTTGCTACCTGGGAAAATAGACAGACACCCACCTTGCTACAATCTCCTTTCAGGCAGTTGTAGGGAGTGATAAAGTCTCCCCTCAGCCTCCTTTTCTCAAGTCTAACCAACCCTGGTTCCCTCAGCAGCTCCTCAAAAGATTTGTGCTCTAGAGCCTTCACCAGCTTTGTTGCTCTTCTTTGGACACGCTCCAGTACCTCCATGTCTTTCTTGTACTGAGGGGCCCACAACTGAATGTGAGGTGGAGCCTCACCAATGCTGAGTACAGGAGGATGAACACTTCCATCATCCTTCTGGCCACACTATTTCTGAAACAAGCCAGGATGTTGTTGGCCTTCTTGGCCACCTGGGCACACTGCTGGTTCATATTCAGTGTCTGTTGTCCAATACCCTGTCGCGGTTTGAGCCTGGTTGGCAGCCAAACTCCACGCAGCCACTCACTCCCCCTTCTGTTCCGGCAATGAGAGGGGACAGATGAGCCAGGCTTGGAATTCAAGATAGGACCGGGAGGGGCAGATCACCCATTATGGTCACAAGCAAAAAGCAGACTTGTTAGGGGAAGAAAAAAAGAACATACATTTATTACAGACACTAACAACACTTAACAAAGCAGGACAGTGAGAAGCATTGCCACACCTTGAGAACACCTTCCCCCCACCCCTCCCTTCTTCCCGGGCTCAGCTCTGCTCCCGATATCTCTACCTCCAGCACCACGATCAGGCTGACAGGCCTGTAGTTCCCCAGTTCCTTCTTGTAGATGGCAATCACATTTGCTAACCTCCAGTCAGCTGGGACCTCCCAGGTTAACCATGACTGTTGATAAATGATTGAAAGTGGCTCGGTGAGCATTTCCACCAGCTCCGTCAGCACCCCTGGGTGGATCCCATCTGGCTCCATAGACTTTTGTGTGTCTAAATCATGTAGCAGGTCACAAATCATTTCCCCTTGGATTATGGGGGCTTTATTCTGCTCCTTGTCCCTGTCTTCCAGCTCAGGGAACTGGGTATCTGGAGAAAAACCGGTCTTACTGTTAAAGACTGAGGCAAAGAAGTCATTAAGTACCTCGGCCATTTTTTCATCCTTTGTCACTATGTTTTCCCCCCGCATCTAATAAAGGATGGAGATTTTCCTGAGCCCTCCTGTGGCTAATGTATCTATAGAAACATTTTTTATTGTCTTTCATGGCAGTAGCCAGATTAAGTTCTAGTTGGGCTTTGGCCCTTCTAATTTTCTCCCTGCATAACCTCATGACATTCTTGTAGTCCTCCTGAGTGGCCTGCCCCTTCTTCCAAAGGTCATAAATAGTCTTTTTTCCTGATTTCCAGACAAAGCTCTCTGTTCAGTCAGTCTGGTCTTCTTCCCCGCCAGCTCATCTTTTGGCACATGGGTATAGCCCACTCCTGTGCCTTTAAGATTTCCTTCTTGAAGAGCGTCTAGTCCTCCTGGACGCCTTTGCCCTTCAGGACTGCCTCCTTAGGGACTCTGTCAACCAGGCTCCTAAACAGGCCAAAGTGTGCCCTCTGGAAGTCCAAGGCAGCAGTTCTACTGACCCCTCCTCCTTACTTCTCCAAGAGTTGAAAACTCTATCACTATGTATAACTACGAATAATTCTCTCTTTGTATCACAAAAATTCCAAATAACTTGCTTTTTAATATAATATGTTTGCATTTGCTCCTCCGAAGACCATGTTTCTACTTGTATGAAGGTTAGTAAAAAGCAAAATCATGAAGGTAACATCTTTTTCTTGTGTTTGAAGAGTCCTTAATCTATACACTTATATGCCACTTCTAAGAACTGCTTTTATGTTTTCCATGCTGTAACCGTAAAATAGGAAAACAAAACATAGTGAATACAGAAGATGATGTTTTTCACCACTAAGGTCAGTGGAGTGCTCGTACCACAAAACTACAGTTAACACTCCCTGTGTTTGTTCTTGAGTTACATATGTGCCTACAGTTAAGCTTTAACTTAAATTAATACTTAAACACTGAAATAGATTAATTTCCATAACTGGAAATTCTCTGAAACTGAAGATGCCAAAATTTACTGAAACTGATTCTGTTGAGAAAATGGGATTGTGAATGGTGATGTTGTGAGTCATTACTGTGCTCAACTGTTTTGTACCGTCATTGGTATCTGGCACTGCAGACACAGTATTTCAGACCTATCCAGGGACCAACTCCACTTCAGACACATGTTCTGGAAAAACAGCAAAATAATATTCTTTAAATATGGTTGAATTAAAACCAGGAAAATAGGACATCCAGTTTATAGATCCATCACCTAAGCAGATAAGAAGTAAAAAGAAAAGATACACTAGGAAAGAGTAAGGTATTCAATGACTTTTTGCTTCATTCTTCTAAAGCTGGTTAATTATGCCTGGACATGTAGAAATGTGAAGTTTTCAAAGAAATAAGAATGCTAGAAAAAATATTTTAAATACTTAGAAAAAATGAATGAATTCAAAAGCAGAGCATCTGAAAGTCCTGACACAAATCATCTTTGAACAACTAGAAATTATTGGTAAGAACCCAGAAAAGCACCAGATGCCTGGAGGAAGACACATAATAACTGTGTTTAAAAATTTGAGAAAGAAGAATCAAAATAGAGCAGTCAACTTAACTTGATATCTGGAAATTTACTAGCAAAAATTATAAGCAACCAACCATGAAACATTTTGAAGATAATAAGGTCATAAGTATAAACCATGTCAAATCTGTTTGTATTCCTTCTTTAAAAGATAATTTATCTCTTGAATAAGACATAGACAAAAGATACAATAGATGACAGAATCAGAGAGTTTCTGAAGTTACATGACAAAAGAGACACAATCTAGATCAACAAATTCATGGCTTCATATGTGGACATGGCAACTCACAAATGTGGTTATATATGCTGGGTTTCTGTGGCATGGGTTTTAATTTTTGGTAGCAGGGGAGAAGGGCTACAGCAGTGTCCCCTGTGAGAAGCTTCTTGAAGCTCCCCCCAGCTCCAAGAGGGACCTGCCTCTGGCCAGGGCCGAAGCAATCAACTGCGCCTCTGCGATAATGTATTTAAGAAGGGGAAAGTGAGAGGGGGTTGGGGCTTGTGAGAGGACTTGTGAGGAGGAGTTGGGAGAAGGACGGACACCAAGGTCAGCAGGAGGAAGGAGAAGGACGAGGTGGAGGTGTGCCGGAGCAGAGACCCCTGTATCCCATGCTGAGATGTCAGAGCCACACACACTGCCACACATGGAGGTCTGTGGTGGAGCCAACCTGAAGCCTGTGGAGAAGCTCACACCAGGACAGGCATCTGCACTAAATGCACCCTGAGGGAAGAAGTGGCACCCGCTGTTGTGCTTCAGCACTGGGAGGACTGCAACATGCAGGGGTGTTCCATGCCAGATCAGCTCGAGCATGGCTGCAGCCCCTGGGGAGGACTCATGCCAGAGAAAGTTTGTGGATCCCCTCTCACTGTCTGCAGTGAGAGGGGATCCATGTGGAGCAGGGGAAGAATGTGCAGCATTCACACCACCTCCTGAGAAGGAAGGAGTCACCAGCTGACTGTAATACCCATCCCCTGAGCCCTGCACTGCTGGGGGAGGAGACAGAGAAATTGGGAGCAGAGCTGAGCCCAGGAAGAAGGGAGAGGTGGGGAGGTGTTTTTGGGTGTGGTGGCACTTCTCATTGTCCCCACCTTGTCTATTATATGTTATCTTGTTAGCATTTGATTTAAAGTTTCTTTTTTTTCTTCCCCTAACAAGTCTGTCTTCTGCTTGTAACCATAATGGGTGAGTGACTCCTCCCCAGTCCTTAGATGGATTCCTTGAGCTGATTCCTGTTCCTATATTCTCCCCCTCATCTCTGAGATGGGGGAGGGAGTGAGCAAGCGGCTGCATGGTGCTCAATTGCCTTCTGGGCCTAACCCACGACATTATAGAAATGAAATTAAAGTACTGAAAGTAGATTTGCGTTCCTAGAAGTTCATACAATAGTGACAAAAGGCATCCAGAATCAGGGTCAGCAGCAGCAATACTTTTAGGAATATCAACTTGTTTCACTGGCTTTTATGAACTTGGTTGCAATAATCTGTTCATGGTCAAACTGCATATACTGGATGACAGCAAAATTGGGAGGACAATTAAAGCAATATCCTTTAGTGGTGAGTCCTGGTCACATTCAACATTGCTCTTAACACTGGTGGACAGACTATTATCTGTATCATATACCATTGACTTTTAAGTCTGGGAATCAGAAAAGGGGCTGAAAGTACTGTGGACAACGGGGAAACAATTCACAACATCATATCAAATTGAGAAGAAGTTTGGCAAACATGAAGGTTAGTAGAAGTAAAATGCTACATTTAGTAAAGAAACCAAAGGCACAAATACTTAATGGGACCAAACCAGTCAAGTAGCAGTTGGCATGAAAAGACCTGAGGAATCATACTCAGCAAGGGCTAACATAATGACAATGCTAGAGAAAGTAAGGTCAGATCTTATTCTGTTCTACAGTAACAGGAGGATCATAACTAAGACACAGGCAATAATTATTACAGCCCATGGTTGCAGATCAGTCTAAACAGAAGATTGCTGCTTAGGGACACTGCAGAGAAATTTAAGGAATCATCTGGTAGGGAGAAGATAAGCATGCTTGATACTTTAGCAGTACAGGGAGAGGACTAGATAGTCACATTAAGTCCCTTCTAGGTCTAGACTTGTAGGCATTTTGGAACATGGCTGACTGGCTTTCCACGTTCTTACTGATTCCCTGTCTGTGTCAATTCTTCTTGAATTAATTAGTCACCATACACTCCAGATTATGAAACAGTCAAGACTCTTCTAAGTCTGACTTCCTTGTGTGATATTTTTTCCCCAATTAGAGCCACACCAGATTTTAGAATTACATTCCACATTCTCACTGGATGAATTGTACTGCAATTTCATGGCAGCTTTTGGGTTTTCAGATACTGATACTGCACAAGGGACTTTGCCTGAAGAGGGTCTTTCCAGGCACACTGGAATTTGAGAAATAAATGTGAGTAGCAGATTTACTTTTGTTAAGAAGGGGAAATTGCTGATCGTCAAAAACTGCAGCATTTTTGGATGAGAGGTTATGTAGTTAGTTGTTATTGAGTCTGGAAACAATCTCTGCAAAGACTGGGTGCTACACTACTCACAAGGGAAACACAAGCTCTATCAGTAATTCCTCAGATAATACTACTATACCACCACTACTCTGTTGAACTAATTAAATTAAAACTAGTTGGAGAACACCTAAACTAAAATGAACAGTACACATGCCCTTACTGATCTGATAGAAAACCAGACCATGACCCATTTCTGAAGTTTATCCTCTCCTGTGTCATCCCAGGGCTATCAGTTCAGTCCCTTTCTGCCCTTACAATCTCACTCTGAAGAGCAGAGCTATACAGAGTAGTAGCACCTCGTGTTCTTTTGCTTCATTAGAGATACTCTTTGGGCCCTTGCATGTAGTGGGGTAAGGAGGTCAGAGAGGGGAGGATGGAAAAAGCAACCTGACATGTCAGAAAACTAATGTGGGCAAGGAGACTTGATGGATGAGTAACATTTTAAGGGGGTGAAAAGTAAGAAGAGATGAAGGCAGTGAGTGTGAGAATCAGTTCAGAAAAACTTGGGAATTTCTTTTCAAGGAAAGACATAGTTGACTCACACAATAGCAATGGTTTTTGAGCTTTATCACTGCTAGATCCTTACCAATTGTCCAAAACCAAAAATAAAAACCTTTCTTTCTGGTCTAGTATTTTTTGTTACCTGTGATTCCTGAAATGATACATTTCCACTGAAGAGGAATTGAATTTCCATCTATCTGCTTTAAAGAGGATGAAGAAACCAGAAAAATTATACTAACCCTTTTCCTACCTCATGTTTTTTCCCCAATCCATTTCTTAAAACAAGGCTAAGGTGAATCTTTGGCTATGGTGAGTTGAACCACTCAGAATTTTCCCTGGGGACCATGTGAGCTGTTCCACAGCCATGCAGCCTCCCTGCAGGGTCTCCTGCTTACCGCAAGACACTCGGCTGCTGGGCAGACAGCCTTGGGACTGGGACTCCTGGCACCCTCAGGACACCTTGTTCCCCTGAGTCCCTCCAGGGAGACAGGGCTGCCCTGAGTCCTCACCTCTGCAGCTCCCGAGCAGCCTGCCAGGCAGCTGCGACTGCATCAAGGGCCCTGCTCATGACCAGAGGTCAGGGTCCAAGGGTTAAAGGACCTGGAGGCACCCATGTCCCCAGTGGCTCGGGTGACAGGTTGTTAGCCTTCATGTTGAGGTGTTATAGTGATCTGGATCCTTCAGGATTCAGACAGCTGGATCTGGAGGCAGGAGGAAGAAATGCTAATTTCTCGTTCTTACGCTTTAGTATTGGCAAATGGGAGGAGATTTTCCTTTGCAACTCAGTAAACACATGGACAGAAAACTGAAAACCATAAGTAAGCTGGCAGAAGGCATAATATATGAACGATATCTTCAGTTTTTATGAGTAAAACACCACTGCTAGAGAAAATATTTCCAATAAAATGGTTCTGCATTTTGGGAAACCAGAAAAATAATTTAAAATTATTCTTTATAGGTAACTGTAAACAATCTTCCAGGTATTACAGGTATGCTTTTGATTTGACACCTCTTCATGCTTAATTAAGCTGGTGTTTAGGTTTACTAAGTGTCTAACATCCATTTATGAAGAAAGAGACAAGAATGTGATGCACAGCAGTGTGGGGCTCTCTGTGGGTTTGATATATATGTAGCAAATGAGACCCATACTACATTAAAGGACATGGAAGAAAGAAAGAGTAAAAGGCCCTTCCACAGGGTAATTCAGCCTTCCTGTATTGCATATCTCTGTTAGGAGGACCTGTGGAGATTCCTATTTCTCCATCTCAGTGCTCTTTATCTTCTGAAAAGGCATCAGTCATAATACCAATAACTCCCCCATCAAGAACAATTTCACCCAAAGATTAAATTATGGACAAGTGTAGAGAGAAATGGAACTGAAGTCATGCAGGTAGAATTTGATTCACATTAATGCAGAACCTAAGTATTAGAGCTTCCCATGAAAGTAACCCTCTTGTAGGATTTGGTGAAGTAAAAGTCTCAAATGTGAGTATTTAATCTTGAGAAGTACAGCTTAGGTGGTAGTTTTCTTTAGCTCCAGAGATGTCTCCTGAAGCGATGATGTTACAGTGACTGGCTGCAGGGTAGAGCTGCCACCTGGAAGGAAGTTGCATCCCTGGATGTGTATCCATGATTGGAGTCAGTAGTGAGCTCGGCTGAGATCCACTATCCACATATCCACTGCCTGCTGGTTGTCCAGTTTGCAAATGGCACTGCATTACTCACCAGTTAAAAATATTTCAGGGAATATCATCTATAGGTCTTTCTTTGGCTTCATTTAACATTTTGAATGCTATTAGTTGTTGCCCTAGTAGATTCCTGTTCCTAGCATCAGCTTCAGAAAAGACTCTATGTCACTATTGCCAGTCTCCAGTCCTGTAATTTCAAAAGGAGTTAACAGAGTACGCAGTTAATTAGTGACTTGTACCTTCATTCCCAAATGAACGCCCTATCCAGTTTGTTAATATGTTGCATAAACTTTGCCTGCCTTGTGGAAAGACAGCCTGTATTTGTTTGAAAAAGAGTTCCACAGGGATACAAACATGAGCAGAAATAGGGAAAGAGTCATTGAGACAGTGGAAAATGTTTTTTCGCAGAGTGAAAAGATTGCCCCAGAAGACATGATGTTTTCCTACAAAGGTGTTTTATACCCTGCTGTACTTAGCAGCCCAGAAACTTTGGAAGCTCTGAAATCCTTTGAGACCAGGAGTGATGATGTGATTCTAGCAGGCTATCCTAAAACAGGTGAGTGGTTTTTTCTTGATAAGTAGTCAAGTACAGAGTGCTGCAATCCAGAAGTTTGTGTCATCATTTAGCACAGCAATAATTACACGTGAGAGAAGCTTATGGTGACATCAGACTTCATAGGATCATGAATTTAAGTTATAAGTTGTCACTGCAGGTCAAGTAATACAGCCTTCTGCTCAAAGCAGGAGAAAGACCTAAACTTCAAAGTTAGGTTTGGCTGCTCAAGTCTTTGTCCAGAAGTTTTAAAACTTTGAGGGTGAAAATTCACCACCCACTGGGAATCTATTGCAATGTTTTCCCACTACAGTGGTTTGTTGTTTTTTGTTTGGTTGTTTTTTTTTTTTTGTTTTGTTTTTTTTTTGTTTTTTTTTTTTTTTGTCTGTTTATTGGTTTGTTTTACTTCTATGCAGTCAGATATCCTCTTATTGTGATTTTTAATATGCCCCTTTTGTCACTTCCTGACCAATTTTAAGAATAGTTGGCTCTGTCTTCTTTATAACCTCCAGTAATGGAAGACTGGAGTGAGATTCCTCCCATGCTTTATTTTGTTTTTCCTCCAGCCTGAGCAAACCAAAACTATGCATTGCATTTTCTCCAGCTCCCAGTGATTTCATGGAAGTTCAGCAGTACTCACTCCAGATTCTCAAAATCACTTGTGCTTCAGTGCAGGAACTGAACACAGTATTCAAATGGTGATGTCACCAGTGCTGGGTAGAGCAAAATAATCACATCCCTTGATATTCTGACCACGTTTGCTAAAACAGGAATGTATGTTGTTACCCTAATCGCTGTAAGGGCAATACAGGGAATATATCCTGTTAATGAGGGCAGAAGAACTGCTGTTTCCATTGACTTACTGCACTGCAGAATGCAGGTGATTCCCTTGTATCTAAATGGAGGGAAAGACAAATGCCACTAGTACTCTTGGAATATTTCATCTCTCTTTCACCGTGGGCATTTTAGATTCCTTAATTTTTTCCCTATTCGCTTTAGAGAAATATCTTAATTGGTCATTTTCAGAAAAAAAGGAATTGTTGATCCTTATCACATCCCCTTTGTGTGCAGCCTATAGAGCTGTGCACAGGCAGAAATGGTTTAAAGGTGTGAGGATACACCTATACATCCCAGAAGGTGTTAGTTGAAAACTGAGACTTGGATCTCCAACCTCTCATACACCAGTTTTTCCAGGTTCCAGAGGCCAAGACAGCTAAGCCTGGTGCAAAGATGGTGACAGGAACTTGACAGTCTAGTGGTTTGGTTGATGACCTCTTCTGCTGCCAGTTATGGAAGCCTAGCTGGGTTCTGGGAATGAGGCCAAACTGTGATGATCATGAAGATACCATAAACTGAAGTTGTTCAGGAGGAGGGAACAGAATGTTCCCAAAGACAGCATTGTGGAAGGAGAGCAGAAACAGCCAAGGGACAACTCAGGTGGCCCTGTGCTGGGAGCTTCACTGCTCTTGAGTAATTTCCACAGAGAGCAGTCTGAGGTGACCAAAAAGTGTCAGAGATGGAAGGAGCAATAGAGGTCTGCTTCTGTTTCCACTGAGCGATGAGATGTGATTCTGAAGTAAGCAGGGTAGCTCTCCACAACATCTGGCTGGCAGCTCTGTCCATGTTGGCTTTTGGCATACCCTTGTTGCTTATTGTCCAGTGTCATGGTTTAACTCTGTCCAGAAACTAAGGCCTGCACAGCCGCTTGATCATTCCTGTCCTGGTGGGATGGGGGAGAGAGACAGAACAGTAAAAGTGAGAAAAGTAGTGGGTTGAAATAAAGACAGTTCAATAGGTAAAGCGAAAGCCATGTGTGCAAGCAAAGCAAAACAAGGAATTAATTCACTATTTCCCATCAGCAGGCAGGTGTTCAGCCATCCCCAGGACAGCTGGGCTTCATCATGTGTAATGGTTACTTGGGAAGACAAATGCCATAACTCCCAATGTCCCCCCTTCCTTCTTATTCCCCCAGCTTTTATTGATGAGCGTGATGTCATATGTTATGGAATATCCCTTTGGTCAGTTGGGGTCAGCTGTCCAACCTGTGTCCCCTCCCAAGTTGTGCACCTTCAGCTTACTTGCTGGTGGGACAGTGTGAGAAGTAGAAAATATCTTGATGATGTGCAAGCACTGCTCAGCAATAATTAAAACATCCCTGTATTATCACCACTGTTTTTAGCACAAATCCAAAACATAGCCCCATACCATCTACTATGAGGAAAATGAACTCTATCACAGACAAAACCAGCACACCCACCTGTTGACAGTCTAAAGTAAAATATAGAACCAAACTGGAGTAAAATATAGAGCCAAACTGGTTCATAAATGTGAACCAATTTGACAAGATATACCATCAGGCAGGTTGACATGAAAAAGTGCAGTTGAATGAATGTGCTACTGGTGTCTTTATTCTTTCAGGAACCAACTGGCTTGGAGAAATCATGAGGGAGTTGGAATCAACAGATGCCAAATATACAGAAGAAGAAATGAAAGAGAGAATAAATGCTGAAAAGAAGTTAGAGACATTTTCACGTCTGGAATTTGGAGATCCTGGGATATATGAGGTTGGCAGGGACTGAAAATATTAGCACTGCTCTTACAGATAGTAACAGCTGAAAGGCAATGGCTGATCTCAGAGGTATGGAGATCTTAGAGACTTAACAACAGTTATGGTCTGCACAGGTATTGCCTTTGCTGTCCTAATGCAAGGGCCTCAGAGCACAGACAGTGCTGAGAAGCCCCACTGGGCTCCAGGCCTGTACCCAGTGGGTTTGATCAGTAAGATCCTTCTCTTGGGTGTCCGGTCCTCAGGCTTGTCTCATGTGAAATGGTGCTCTGTGGCAGAGGCTGGCAGAAGCCTACACCACCAGTGCATCCCTATGGGTTTTGCAAAGGATAAGATCCTTCCTCTCTGGTCTCACCTTTTCTTATTACCCACAATTCCTGAAAAGGCACTTGTCACTGAGTAAACTACTACTGTCCTGTCACATTTTTTCCCACTTGCTTTAAAGAGGATGAAGAAACTGCCTTCCAGGAGAATTATAGTAACACATCTGCCACCTCCTCTCCTGCCCCCATCCATTCTGCAAAGCAAAGCTAAGGTGAGTTTATCTTTTCATCACACTGCAAAAGCTTTTCCATCTCAAATTAGCTTTCCTCTGCGTGAAATGTGTTTTCTGGACTTTCACCTGGGCTGGTCAATGCACGGGCAGATTTCCAAGGTTGAAGAGGCAGGGTGATGTGTACTGAGGCTGTGAACAAACATCCTCTCCCAGCAGCAGCTTTATTGTCTTAAGAGGTTGATATCAATAAGCTTGTCACTGGGTGTTGCTGACCCTTCAGATCTCCTCCAGAAAAATGCTTCCAGGTTTGTGCCAGAAAACTGATCAAGGCAAGCAATTATTCCATTTGCTTTAACTTACCTCCTAGACCAGGATACCTGTGGAAAGCCCACCACAGGCTGGGGCTAAGATAGTCTTCAATGGGAATTGCTGCAGAGAGAAGTAAGAGTACATCTAGAGCCTGCTTGTGGCTTTCCTGTTCAGCAGCCCATGAACTCATTTTTCTGGACAGCAACTAGCTCAGAACTATGTCCCAAAGGCATCACTGAAAAGCTTCTTGTTTTCAGCCTGAAGCTCACATTAGCAGCAAGTGGCCTGCCAAAGCTCTGATTTCTTGCTCAAGAAAAGGAATTAGACCAGCATTGTATGCTCTGGTGGGTGTTAGTGGACAAGTAAATTTGCAGACAGCACCAAGTTGGGTGGAAGGGAGTGTTGATCTGCTTGAGGGTAGAAAGGCTCTATAGAGAGATCTGGACAGACTGGATCCATGGGCCAAGGCCAGTTGTATGAGGTTCAACAAGACTGAGTGCTGGATCCTGCACTTTTGTCACAAGAACCCCATGCAACACTAGAGGCTTGGGGGAGAGGGGCAGGAAAGCCACCCAGCAGAAAAGAATCTGGGAGTGTTGGTCAACAGCCACTGAATATGAACCAGCAGTGTGCCCAGGGGGCCAAGAAGACCAATAGCACCCTGGCTTGTTTCGGAAATAGCATAGCCAGCAGGACTAGGGAAGTGATCGTCCCCCTGTACTCAGCATTGGTGAGGCTCCACCTCACATACTGCATTCAGTTTTGGGACCCTCACTACAAGAAAGACATGAAGGTGCTGGAGCACATCCAAAGAAGAGCGAAAAAGCTGGTGAAGGCTCTAGAGCACAAATCTTCTGAGGAGCTGCTGAGGGAACTAGGTTTGGTTAGCCTTGAGAAAAGGAGGCTGAGGGTAGACCTTATCTCTCCCTACAACTGCCTGAAAGGAGATTGTAGCAAGGTGGGTGTCTGTCTATTTTCCCAGGTAGCAAGTGATAAGATGAAAGGAAATGACCTCAAGTTACACCAGGGGAGGTTTAGATTGGTTAATACAAAAAATTTCTTCACTGAAAGGGTTGTCAAGCATTGGAACAGGCTGCCCAGGGAAGTGGTGGAGTCACCATCCCTGGAGGTATTTAAAAGATGTGTAGATGTGGCACTTAGGGACACGGTTTAGTGGTGGACTTGACAGTGTTAGGTTTATATTTGGACTTGAGGATCTTAAAGGTCTTTTCTAACCTAAATGATTCTATAATGCTATGTGATGTGTTGAGAAGATGATGTTTCAGTCAGTCACTAAATCAGAACTAAATTATGTGTTTTCTTCCTCTAGATCCTTGTGCTAGTTCGGAACCCCAAAGACACGGCTGTCTCGTATTACCACTTCTACAACAGCATGCCAGTGCTGCCATCTTTCTCTTCCTGGGATGAGTACTTTGCAGCCTTCATGAATGGGAAAGGTACTTTTCCCTGCATCCTCTGGCATTCCTCCTTACATGATGGGCATACACAGGACCCTGTGCATGGGAATTCTACTCCAACATACCTTACCAAGGCACTTCCAGGACAGGAAGATGCCCATGTTATGGCAGAAACAGGGAGTACCAGAGAATCAGACCTTCTTTTGCCTCTTACTCAGAATGCAGAGATCATGAGAAAACTTTAGCATGACTTTTCTGTTCCTGCAGTAGAGGTTGTAGTTAGGTGCTACCTAGTGGCCAGAGCTAGGGGATCCTGCACTGACCTCAGCTGAAACAACAGACATGTTCAGCCAGTCACCACTTGACCAGCCTGGTGTCATGCTTAGAAGGCTGACTGGGTTGAATTCTCTGATTTTATAAGAGCCTGTTTTAGGGAATACTCTACACAGCTATGTCTCTTCTTTGTCTGCAGTGACATGGGGATCCTACATTCACCACTTAGTGGAATGGAACAAATACATTGATGATGAGAGAATCATGATGATAAGCTACGAGGAACTCAAAGAGGTGTGGCATCTCACCCATCTCTTCCTTGCTGAGTGCACTGTGCACCACTCCTGATATGTATGGTTGTTGGGAAGAAGAAACTCTTGGGTTAAGCCTGTCTTCCCCTTTAGAAGGTTGTGCCTTTCTGAGCTACATTTTTATGTTTGGGGGAGGCCCATGGGGTTTAGGAAGAGGTTAGCCTTGCCTATTCATGGATGGTGTCATATCTGGCATAGGCGTAGTTGCTTTTGGGAGAGAAGAAAAAGCCTTGAAGTTGAGGCAGCCATGTGTGTGTTCTCTCTCTGTTAGAGCTCTTAGAATTCCTTGGTGATGATGTGTGAAGCAGTATCCTTTGCTGGGCTTCCCACTGGGTGCTGGCTCCATGCCACAGCCACACTGTCATGTCATTTGGTTTGACCTGTGTGCTATGTTCCTTTGGCCAGGACCAGATACTGGGAATGAAAAGGATTGCTGCCTTCTTTAGATTCAACCTGTGTGAGGAAGATTTTATCAGAATTGCCCAGATGACCACGTTCCAAGCTATGAAAGAGAAATCCAAGGAAACCCATGGAAAGTTTGGGGACATCCTCTTCCGGAAGGGTAAGTCTCTGCAAATGGAGAATATATAGCCATGATCTCACTGGGATGACTATGAAGGACAAGTGTGGTTGAGTTCTGTCCTGTGGCATCCTGTCCAACAAGATTCTGCTGTTGATGGGATTTGGGGGCTGTTTGTGAAAAATGTTCCAGAGAACCAGGCTTCAAGTCCTCAGTCATTGCTTCTATGTTGCTCTATTTCCCTGTGGCAACCCCAGTCAGTTAGACAAGTGAGATGGGAAGGTGGGGGACAACAGTGGTGTAGGTTATGCCAACAATTATGCATCAAATCTGCTTGGGCTGGATAGTTACTCTTTACAGAGGGGTTATGGTTTGGCCATTACCTGGTGATCAATGAGGCTGATGCTGGATCATGGATCTGGTCTGTACGTGTCACTTCATGAAAGTCCCCTTTGGGAGGTGGTGTGATAATGGGACAAGAGTCTGTTGAACCTCAAGGGAATGCATCTCTCACTGCTCTGCTGACCTCACAGGCATCTCCTTGTTACACACTCAGAGATGAGGAATAGTCTCAATATGGTACCTCTTAATGGACATGTCAGTGGTGGTGCCAGAGATAGTTCCTCACAGACCTGGCAGTCCAGCTGCTCCCCATGGCATGAAGAGTCTTTGGTTTCTGACTACTGTGGGCATGGGCTTTCTTTAACCCCTTTCCTTCACCACTCCTTGGAGGAAGAAGGATTTAAGTGCTCTCCTTTCTACCACCTACCCCATGACCCCAAACAACTTTCCCCTTCATAGGGAGGCATTAATGAATGAGCGTTCCTTTGTGACAAAAACAGGTTCCTCACTCTTTTGTGTAAAAGCTTTATGAAACCACCTTGGAAACTCCCCCTGATGAGGGAAGACATACAGGCAGCCCTCTAGCAATGCTCCCTGTGGTCTGGGTGCAGCCTTTATTGTTTATCCTTCCTATCTTGCCTCTTCCAGGCAATCAGACCTCTCAGGGGCATAAATCTGATCCTTCCTGCCTCATGCAGGCAATGATTCTGCCCCATTGCTGCCTAGGTATTATTGTCTCTCAAGAGTATCTGCTTTCAGTTTCTGGTACTTCTGGTTGTATACAGGGGTTGTTGGAAACTGGAGAGACCTCTTCTCTAAAGCTCAGAATGAAGAAATGGACCAAAAATTTGAAGACTGCCTAGGAGGAACGAAGCTGGCAGCAAAGATGAAATATGATATGTACTGCAAGGCCTGAAAATAAGCAGATTAGAAGCATGACAGCAAGTCATGTTTCAAAGATGATTCTCCAAAGGTGGGAAGTTCCCATGTTTCCTTATCATGAGAAAAGAGAGAAAATCCTCAGAGATCTAACTGTCACCTCTAAGCATTTAAGTGATAATTCTTTGGTGTGTGCTGGGCCTAGGGCATGTCCTTTACTTGACACAACCAAATAAAATGTACATATGCCTCAAGTGAATGCCTAGCATTCTTTCAGGAGGGAGATGGTGCACAGACATCATAGCACCAGTCTGGTGGTGTTCCTGTGTCTGCTTCATGGCCTGAGATGGTGAATGAGTACCCTGCGGTGCTCAGTGGTAAGGCAGTGGGAGCAACATAAGACCTCTCCTCTTGACACACAATGGACTTGACATGGATTTGTGGTGTGGGTCTGAATACCCAAATGACTGTGTATGGGCAGAGCATGATAGTCAGGGTTTAGATCTACCATGGCTACTGTGGTATTGACATTTGTACAGCATGGTCAGAAAGGCCTTTGACACTGGCAAATTCCTCACTTTGGTGCAGGGTAGGACTTCTTGAGCTCTTACTGCCACAGACTCTTAAGTAATAAACAGCTATATGTTTTCTGGAGTGTTTTTCTCCCATTGGCCTCTCTGGGAACAATTAAGTAAATGGCAAGTGGGAAGAAACATGACTTTTGAATGGAAAGATCATGGGAAAGAAGACCCCTGATGGCCCTGTTTCTGAACTAATAAAGCTGCATTTGTTTGACAATAAATAGATTTATGCTAAGTAGGTATGATTTCCACACCCTCCTTGTAGATGTCCTTGCTACATCTGTGCAGAACATGCTGCACAACCTCTTGTCAAAACCACTCTTCTGAAAAACCAGAAAAACTAAGGAAATGAGCATTCCATCTGGCAAAGGGAATTCAGTTCCTTGGAAGAGTGATTCCTCTGCCATATTCCCAGACAGGTATATCTGCAGGACTCTCACACTGAACTAAGATTAAAACCCAAGCAACCTGCAACCAAAAATGTAATTAACAAAACTGGGAAATTGCTAAGGTCCTGTCAAAGACCTGACTGTCCCTGGCCATCCAACTGGGACTCCCCTTACCCTGACCATGGCCCAGGACTCCTGGGGCCATCAGCCCCTGTCCCAGCAATGCTGCAGCAGGGTCAGTCTCCATCTCCTCACAGGCTGCCCTGCCTGGCCATGGGCTCTGTCAAGCTGGATACATCCGTAGGCCCATGTCCTGGACCACCCTCAGCTCATCACCATCTCCAGGGAGGTGCCTGACGCCTGGGGCTGGGGCTGCCCTGCTCCTGGCTGGGGTGGTGGGACAGTTCCTGGCTGCCAGACCCTGCCCCATGTCTCCTTGACAGGAATACTGAGGACTGTTGCAGATTCAGCTCTGAGATGTGCATGTGAAATTGAGATGAAGAATGAAGCATGAACAGATGTGTTTGTTTGAACCTGTTGATTCTGGGTTTGTAGGTTTTTGTTCCCAGAAGAGTAGGACTTCATCTAACTCTGGGCTTCCACGGATGAAAAGAAACAAGCTGCCATGCCCCATAATTTTGGAATTAGCAATATTTTAATCGATTCCTTAATACATGCACTTTACTATTTCCTCCATGGTGATACTAAAAGCTATCCAGATAATAGAAAGCAGTGTGCAACTCAGTGCCTTCAAGGAATTGAACAAGTGAACAAGCCTGGCCAGAAATGGAGAAGCAGTCACTGAAATATTCAGAAGAACTTTACTAAGATGAAAAGATGGTATTTTAAAATCTGTTGATTTTTTTTGTTTTGTTTTGTTTTGTTTTGTTTTTTTTTTTTTTTCCTGCAAAGGCATTTTGTAGCCTAAGAGCTCTTAGCAGCCCAGAAACTTTGGAAGCTCTCAGATCCTTTGAACACAGGACTGAAGATATGATTCTTACCATCTTTCCTAAAATGGGTGTCTTGCTTTCTTGATGAAGAGTCCATTGCTGCAGTCTAGAAGTGTGTGACTGCACATAACAAAGCAATAACACCCACAACAGGTTAATGATGACTTCAGCCTGATGTAGAGGTACAGCAGCAGGGTTTTTTCCATGGAGGAGGCCAGGAGGACTGGTGTTTCCATACATTTCTGTCGTGGTTTGAGCCTGGTCGGCAGCCAACCACTCCACAGCCATTCACCCACCCTCCTCCCCACCTGGGAATGAGGGAGGGAATTGGAAGGGTAAAGGGATTCTCACAGGTTGAGATAGAAACAGTTTAATAATTGTAATAAAATGAAAACAATGACAGCAATAGAAAATATAAATGGACAATGCACAATGCAATTGCTCACCACCTGCTGACCAATCCCCAGCCTGTTCCCGGCTAGAGATCCCGAAATACCAAGATCCTGCAATTGCAATCCTGGAAGCGAGAGAGAGAGAGAGACAGAGCAACTTCCCGAGCGCCCCTCCTCTATATAGTGAGCATGACGTGCCATGATATGGAATATTTCACTGGCCAGTTTGGGTCTGGTGCTCTGTCCGTGCTCCCTCCCTGCTCCCTGTGCCCTTGCGCACGGGCAGGACATGGGGAGTCGGAGAGTCCTTGAAGTCTCAGTAGCATCTGAAAACATCAGTGTGCTATCAGCGTTCTTCTCATACTAAACCCAATGCTGAATCTAAAACACAGCACTATTATAGTTACCAAAAAGAAACATTAACTGTATTCCAGCCCAAACCAGGACAACTTCCTCCACTGCAGGACGTAAGTCATTCCTGCGTGATGAGTGGAGGTACAGGCATACCTGCCACCCAAACTCCAGGACCTTTTTTTCTCACTTCTCATGCCTTTCAATCCCAGCATTTGGGATTACTGGATACCTTCATGTTTTCTTATAAACACTTAGAGAAATATCTTAACAGGTCATTTGAGGAAAAAAAAAGAGGAGGTGATGTTTTATCAGCATTCTGTCCACTTCATGTTCAACTTGAAATTTTTTTCTCAAACAGGAAAGGTATAAAATTGTAGGGTCTCATATAAATATCAAAAGTATTTTAGATATCATTTGACATTTGCATCATAACATCTCTAATTTCTAACCAATTTTAAAAGAACTGTGCTAGAAAATGATTTATATGACTCATTTTAAATGTGATGTGGCCAAGATTCAACCCACTTAATTAGATGGTGTGGTGGTGAATGATGAGTAAGCTGAGAGAGATGCAGCCTAACTTTCAGCTCAACAGGGGGAAAAGGCTTCTGGCTTCTAAAACAACAATTCTCACAGAAATTATAGCAATATGACTTGGAGAGATGAGCTCAGACTCTCCTGCTGGTTAAAAGGCTGAAACTGGATTTGGTCATTAGGAGGTAATATAATGGTTGCACAGAAACACCTCTGAAAAGCAGTAAAAACCTTGGATGGGACCTAAATTCCTTTAGGCTGTGAAGACTGTTACTTTTGACTGAATCCTCCAATTTTTCTTTTTTTTCTTTTTTTTTTTTTTTTTTCATTTCAGAGATTGATGAGTTGTATTTCCTTTTGACTAAGTTGTCATTCCAGACTGGTTTACATTTGTTTCTACAGATAAAGTCATCAGTATTTTCTGATTTGTAATATTTTATAATTTCTCATCTGATGTTACCCAACCCCACTTAAAGGATTTCCTTCTCCAGACCTCTCAGTCTATGTATGCTTGTGGATGTACAGGCTGGAAATCTTGGCTGTAATACAGTCCCTTCCTAAAACACATAGCTCTTAATATTTTTTCTTGCTTAGTATTTTAGTTTTACCTATAGTCTATGGAACTATCTATTTCTAGTAAATTTTTTGTTTTGTTTTGTTTGTATTTGTTTCTAATCCCATTAAAGAGAATTAAAAAATTATCTTCCAGAAGAATGATCTCAACCTCATGTCCTGCCCCTCTCATGCTTTTTCAAAGCAAGGCCAAACTGAATCTTCCTTTTGATTTAACCTGAAAATACTGCTACTAATAAAGTGCTGTTTACAGAGACTGTGGACACATGTTCTCTTGAATGTGCAACCATAATGTCTCCATAGGTTATTATTGCCTGCAGCTCATCCATGCCAAAGACAACTGCTCCCTCAAATTTCCTTGGGGAACTGCTCCCCAGTGCCTTTCATCCCAGATAATCCAGACTACGATCTCTTTAAAATAATTGTGCAAGGATCCTGAGTTTTCCAAAGGTTGGAGGTGAGCCTACCTGGACCTTTTCTTTACAGTGGACACACCATAATCACCAAGAGGGCTGTAAACTTCTAAAGGCTACATTTAAGTTTAGATAAGGCTGCATTAAATTTAGGACAATCAAAGTTTACAATATGGAAACTCGGTTTGTTTTGAGTGAGAACATAATACTATAACAAAACTTTTAAGCAAATCTGCTTTCTCCTCACAGTTTTTTGTCTCAGTCCAGCAACATTTCATGGCATTTTGGATTGCAGCAGGCTCCACACAGGCTGAATATTCCTGAGAAATCTGAGCTAGTGGCTGCCCCAAAGGCTAGGTTTATGTCCCTCTTCTGAATGTAGCTGTCTGCTCCTTCTTTTGCATGAGTTCTTGTGTTTGCCTGACACCCACAGCTTTTTGAAGCAGCATGAAACACTCACTTTTGGTGGCAACAAACTGTCAGATTGTTTCAGCTGTCTTGCACAACCTCACCCCGGTGCCTCTGGGTCTCTAAGAAAGAACTTTTCTGTTGCTTCAGAGGCTTGGCTCTGTCATTTTCTGCTTCTTTCAGGCATCTCCTAATATCTGCTCTCCCTGCAGGCGCCCTGCCTTCTGGGTCACGCACCCTCGCTGCGGATGGCTTTCCCAGCTCAAGGCTCTCCTCCACCCGGAGCAGAGCGGGCACAGCAAGGCAACTGGGCAACCCTCCAGCCAGCCACTGAAGGGGAACGCTGTGCATGCACTGACAGACAGCATCCCTCTCCCTTGCACCTGGAGAGGGGCAGCAGTGCTGACTGGTTGCAGATAAGCTAGTAGTTATAGCCTTTTAGGCTCTGGGGAAAACTGGACATGTTTCTGTAAAGTGAACTGCAGACCTAAAATCCAGTGGCAATCATTTCAGGTTTATTGCATTCCCTCTGGTTGTTTTAGCAAGAAACTCATTCATTATTTGGAAAATAATGAATTTATATTGTTGCTATCAATTAATAACTTGCTAGCAAAAGTATACATCAGTTATTTTTTCAAATATTGTCGAGTATTAACAATTTTAGTAAATGTTAAAGATATATATTTTCTGAGTATTTATCAGCTTTTTTCCTGGCCATGCAGCTACATACTTTTTTTTTTTTTTT